GACCATAGAAATGACGTCAATTTTTTCCACACTTTGCAGTGAGACCACTCGCCTGCGGCTAGTGGTCCCACTTGAGTTTCCAAAATTTCGACGTAATTTCTTTGGTGAATAAGGGCATAGATCATGGAAACTTGTTGTCAATCTGGAAATCTATTCACCCCTGAACCGCCCGTGCAGTCCCACGACGCCTTGTACCGCTTGTGACGTCATCGGTTTTAACGGTCATAGACAACTTTGACATCTCTCATATTATGTCCGAATGATCACGATTCAGTCAAACAGGCTGGAGAAAAACGCAAAAAAAAATACACATATAGTTGACCCGAAAATTCTAATGAAAGTCTTGTTCCACTACCCACTTGCACTTTATTCCATCTAATCCTAAAATCCTAAAAGTTTTCCCCCAAATTCTTCCTGTCGAAATGAAGCCAATGAAGTAAATGCCCAACACAGAAAAAAACAACAAGAAAAACGGGGTAATAAAAGCGAAAGCGGAAGCGAACGGTGCACTCGGATATCATTGCACTGTTGCGTCATTTTGCAAAAAGGTAGTTTTTTTGGTTTGTTTTTGTTGTTGATGTTGTTTGTTTGTTTATTTTTTTACCGAAGCAGCAACGGGGGAAATGGGCGAATCAAAGTTTGACGTGATTCTTGAAGCGGAATAATAAATCCTCTCTTCGGTGTTTGGTAGATTCGGTACTCTCGAACATTTTACTCAATGTTCGAATGCGATTATTCGAGGAAGGCGATTATTTGAAATACTTCCATCAAAGGGGGGCGATTATTCGAGGGAGGCGATTAATCAAGGGACGACTATTATTCGAGGAAATACGGTTTTCTAGATGATCCACGCCTGCCAGTGTAGCTATTTTACACTTGTTGTTATCTGCTTCACTGTTGAAGTAAATCACTCTATTATCGTTACCATTATTATTATTATTATTATTATTATTATTATTGATATTATTATTATTGTTATTATTATTGTTATTATTATTATCATTATTATTATTATTATTACCATCATTAAGACACCAAATAAGGTGTGTATCTTACAGCTAGACAACAAACGAGCACTTATAATTTAAAAGAGTTCCCTTTCTTCTCTGAGGATAATTTTATAGTCTCCCCGTTTCTTCTGCAAGGATTTCTTCAAATCAAGAGTTCAATTTAATCATCTTCACAGTTAGGCAAATTAGGCAAATGTTAAAGAGCAAGGAAACTTTCAGAGTAAACGTGTAGGAATTCAACACAAGATCATCATGTGATGTCACCTATGGGTCAATTTCGTGGAAAACGTCCTATTATATTGCATCAGCATTAAAGTTGTTCTGAGTATTTAATGCAATGGATTCGCTTTTCGAATGATGGAAAAGTGCAACAAAGAAAAGGAGAAAAAGAAGAAGGAAAACAAAACAAAACAAAAGACGGTTTTTAAAATATAAGACCATTTAAACGCGGAACTTAATTTTCCATTTCCCCGTATACACCTGTAGCTTACAGCGTATTCGAGACTGATTTTACCGCGAAACATAATTTGTTTTCACCTAACTCCATTTCTCAAAAAGTTAGTCCAGGTGCGTACTAACTGGCTGAGTAGCAAAGGACAAAACTAATTTGACCTAAAAAATGAGAGGGCATAGCCATAAACTTAGGATAGTTTACTCGATCTGATTTCTCAGAAACTAACCCGGAAATGGCAAGATGATAGTGGTAAATGGTGATACAAAGATCAAGGCTCTTTTATACCAGAAAACTCTGTATTTTTGGGCCCATTTCGTGCCCTGTGTCTCATCGAAAACTACTCCGTCAGCAAGGTTTAGCCGTATGGTTATATTAAGGGAACCTGGTCAGAAGTTCAGTTTGATGCGTTTATCCACAAAGTCTTTATGTACTTTTAGAAAACGGTTCAAAATTGACAAAAAAGTTTACCTTGAACTGTGGTTAAAACGAAAATGAAGGGCAAAATCCTTAACATGACTTGTCTCTTGTCTCTCGAGATGTTTCTGTATGCTTGCCGCTTGCCTTTGGATAAATAACTTAAACGACACAGGTTTACGATGATTTATAAATTAAGCAGCTGTCAAGATGACGTAAAGATTCTGACTTTAAGGGGCGTTTCAAATGGATCTTATTTTGGAGGAAGAAAACAACAGAAACGAATTAGGCCAAACTGATAGCTGGTTGACGTGTATGAAAAGCAATGTTCCTGTTCCTCCTCTTGACTTCATAGGATTGTTAAGGATGAGGTTTTCTGCAACAATTTTTTTAATCTAATCCTTGAGTTTGACATCTCAGCAAATACACAAAATGTTAATAATGCGAGTAAGGTGTTCAGAGTGAATGTCTGAGTAACATTCTAAATACTAAATGTTTTGCATCATTAATAAGAATCTCATGTGATATCATGTGGCTAAGGTGGGAACATGGAAAGCTGATTACTCATTTTCCAGAAAAAGTGTCATTTATTGCACTAAATCATGATGATAAACTTCCTACTTTTCTAGTAAAGCAAGAGGTTCAATTTTCGTAAATAAACAAACCAAAAACCAAAAACACCCACACAGAAACTATGAAAAAAATGTAGTTTTCACTGGGCTCATCACTCAAAATTTTATTCCGGGTTCGAACTCCAAAATAACTCGCTAAGCATTAGCGGAAATGAGATGGCGTGGCGAAAGGCTTCGGTCAGTATCGAAGGTTTCTTTATAGGTCACATTACACCGGTCACGTGTACAGGTCACTGTTGTGTCATTAGTTAATTTTAAAAAGCCAAGCAGTTTTTCCTAGGTCATCTAAAGACCATTTTGCATAGTGATTTGGACACTTGGACACGGGTTGGTATCTTTCAATTGACGGTTATTAAGGTCAAAATTTAGCTTAAAGGTTAAAGTATAAATATTAACTTCTGTGTTGATTGATATTATCTGTTGTGTTTTGGACGTTTTCTTGGCCTTTCACTGATAAAAGTTCGAAGTATTTTCAGATATAAGCAGGCTGTAAAGTCTCGTTATGTCTAGAAAGAGCGTTTTTGAGAACATTGGAACTGATTTTTCCAGTTTAGAGATTCTGCAGGAGCCAGAATCCCGTGAAAATCAGCTGAAATAGGGAGATTTGAATACCTTGAAACTTTTTGACGGTTAATCTTAATCTGTATTTTTGACGGTTGACGGTAAAAAAAATAAACTTTTTTGTCGTTTGATGGTTAACCCCTATATTTATATTACACCTATAGCACAATGGCCTATACTCATGACCTATGGAATGCGAGTTATGCAAAAAAAAAAAGCGTACTTAGTGAAGCAAAGTAATCGAAGCTGACCGTCCAAAACAGTTACCTTAAATTTTGACCCCAAATCGTGGGTTGATCCCTTTGAAAAAATCTAATATGACCACACTACCTCCAACATCAAACTCTTTAAAATTACTCTTTTCGGTCAATATAGCAGTCTTAACTATCGTCAAACATATTTTCGTATCCATCTTACACAAAAAAGCCCGACAAAAACAAATTCAATTTTTGACTTAAAATCGTGGGTAAAAACCATTAATATGGCCACCCCCAACATTAAACTCTTTACAATTGCTCTTAGTAGGTCATTTTAGCAGTCTAAACTATCGTCAAACATCTTTTCTTATGCGACTTACAGAAAAAAGCCCGACAAAAGGTTATTCAATTTTAACCTATAATCGTGGGTTAACCCCTTTGTAAAAATCCAATATGACCACCCCCAACATCAAACTCTTTACAATTGCTATTTTCGGTCATTCTAGAAGCCTAAGCTATCGTCGATCGTCAAACAGCGTGGGTTAAACACTTTAAAAAATTCAACATGGTTACCCCCGCCAACAAAGTCTTTACAAGTGAACTTTTCGGTCTTTTTAGAAGTCTAAAATATCGTGAAACATCCATTCTTATCCTTTCTTAATCAAAAAAGCCCGACAAAAAGAAATTCAATTTTTTGACTTAAAATTAGTGGGTTACCCTCTTTGATAAAATTCAATATGGCCACCCCCCAAACCACTCGTTTTGGTTGTTTTTGCTTTCTTAACTATTAACTACTAAATTAAAAAACGCGATCTTTCGCATTTCAATCCCGATAATCTTAACAGCGACCTTGCTACGATCGACTGGAGTTGCATCATTAAAACGCACGCAAATAATGTAGACGAGCTATTTTCAACTTTCTATAGAAATTTTAATAAAATTATAAATAAACATGCACCGATTAAAACCCTCTCTCGACGTAGGATTAAACAATTTTCTAAGCCTTGGATTACAAAAGGTATAAGAACGTCAATCAAAGAAAAAAACAGACTGTACCAAATTGGCGATCAGGAAAAGTATAAATATTATCGAAATAAAATTTGCAGTCTTATACGTCTGAGTAAGAAACACTATTACTGCGCCTTTTTTAATAACAATTTAAGTAATATGAAAAAAACATGGCAAGGCATAAATGAATTATTAAATCGCTGCAAAAGAAAGGGTAAATCTGTTAGTAAATTAAAAGACCCAGATAACAACAATAAACTTACTAATGATTCCTCGCGTATACCTAATATCTTAAATAAACATTTTTCAAATGTTGGCAACATCTTAGCAAGCAAACTACCACCGGCAGAGCGTCCCTTCATAGACTACCTAAGAAACTCCAGTTCGCCAGAAGTTTCGTTTTTCTTCAGACCTGTAACTCCATCCGAAATTCAATTTCAAATTTTATCTATACCAAACAGCAAATCGCATGGCTTATACTCCTGTCCTACTCAACTTCTTAAATACTCAAGCGAAGTCATATCTCCAGTTCTTTCAGATATTCTCAATACATCTGTCTCTCTTGGGGCTTACCCCCAAAAACTTAAAATATCTAAAATTATACCTATCTTCAAAGCTGACGACGAGACCGACACTTCTAATTATAGGCCAATTTCATTATTATCAAATTTCAATAGAATCTTCGAAAAAATTATGTACGACAGAATGAGAGACTTTATTGAAAAGCACAGCCTATTATATTCGTCTCAATATGGTTTTCGTCAAGCTCACTCAACCCAACATGCTATCCTTGATATGGTAGAATCTATACAAACCAATATGGACAAAAAACTCTTTTCATGTGGTGTTTTTATTGACTTAAAAAAAGCCTTTGACACTGTGAATCATACTATTTTACTTGATAAACTAAATTATTATGGCTTCCGTGGAATTGTCAATCAATGGTTTTCCTCTTATTTATCAAGTCGCACACAAAGCACTGAAATCGGCTCTCATATATCTAGTAAACTAAATATCAATTGCGGCGTACCCCAAGGTTCTGTCCTAGGTCCACTTCTCTTCTTGCTTTATATAAATGACATCCAATATTGTTCGAGCAAACTCCAATTTTTCCTTTTTGCTGATGACACTAATGCTCTTTATGCTCATAAAGATTTAAAGACACTGGAACTAACAGTAAATGCAGAATTACACAACTTGTATAACTGGCTGACTTCAAACAAACTTTCCCTGAATATTAAAAAGTCAAACTATGTAATTTTTCGTCCATACCAAAAAAAACTCAACTATGATCCCCAGGTCAATATCTTTGACAATGAAAGCAATAAAAAGGTTACCCTTGAACGCAAAAACTTTATTAAATATCTTGGACTGTTAATTGATGAAAATCTATCTTGGAAGACCCATATTCACTCTGTTGCAAATAAAATAAGTAAAACAATTGGGCTAATTGCGAGATTAAGACATATTGTTCCCACTTGCACCCTCTTAAATATTTATCAGTCACTTATTACACCTTATCTAACTTATGGTCTTATCTCTTGGGGCAACGCGTGTAAAACTTTCCTTGACCAAATTCTTGTCCTTCAAAAACGCGCACTGCGTTTAATATATTTTGCTGAAACAAACGACCACGCAATACCTTTTTTTGTCAATGCAAAAATTCTACCTTTACAGTCTCTATATTATGAATCCGTTTGTAGTCTTATGTATGATGTAAATAAAAACACTGCTCCGGTTAATATTTCGAAACTCTTCTCTCGAATTTCTAGTGTTCATACTTACAACACACGTGCCTCAACCTCTGAACATTTTTATACTAAAGAATCTCGACTCAATGTCAAACGAAATGCTTTTTCGCGTGTTGGGGTCAAAATTTGGAATGGGATACCTCAAATTCTTAAAGAAAGACCGAAAAAAGCTTTTAAAAGATCACTAAAAGAAATGCTACTCGATTTCCTTGAAACTGAAGACTCCTATATTGATGTGGATACGATCATCGTGAAAATGAAAAAGTAATTCTCTTGTCCTTTATTTTCATTTTATTTTATTTTTAAAATTTCACTTTAATTATTGTCCTTGCATTTAAGTAGAACGTATCTATTTAATATAAAATGTATATACTTATATAACGCCTAATTTCTTTGTATTTGTCTAGTTTGTTGTAAATTATGTAGCCTGGCCTGCCTCGAATAGCCTCGCTAACTGCAGGCCAGTCCCAATGTATCTTTTGCTATATTTTCAAATTTAAATAAAATTGAAATTGAAGTTGAAGTTAACTATCGTCAACAACTTTTCTTATTATTTTTACCCAAAAACGCCCGACGAAAACAATTTCAATTTTTGATTCAAAATGAAGGGTTAAACCCTTTGAAAAAATCCAATATGCCCACCCCGAACATCAAACTGTTTACAATACGCTCTTCTCACGTATGGTAATATGCCCGTCTAACCTCGTTTACGGGTAAAAATTCTTTTGAAATTCAAATACGAAAACGTCGTCTGATTAGCATTTCAAAGGACTTTTTACTCAAAAACGAGGTTAGACGGGCATATTACCATACGCGAGAAGAGCGTATTGCTCTTTCAGGTCTTTTCAAAAACATTTTCTTACATTAATTCTAAATCGTGGGTTAACCCCGATGTAAAAAATCCAATATGGCAACCACCAACATCAAACTCTTTACAGTTTCTCTTTTCGGACTTTTTAGCAGTCTACACTATCATTAAAGATCATATCTT